TCTATCTATCTATCTATCTATCTATCTATCTATCTATCTATCTATCTTTAATAATATATTCTTTAATCATACATTCTTGAAAGGGAAAATGGACTTATTTGTGAAAACAGGTACACACATTTGCTTTTTTTGGCCCATTCTTCTGGTGGCTGACTGAACATTTCTCATCATGAGGTCATAAAATTCTGCCACTTAGTGTCTAAATTTTAAATGTCTTAAATGTCTTATTTTTCCCCCCCTGAATTCACAAAGAGTATCGTGTCCACCTGTAATAAAGATGTCTGGTGTTCACAAGAAGAAGCCAATCAATTTGTCAGACTGATCCATTACATTCATTAAGCTGTCCACAGAAGGGAACTTAATGTACTTTCTCTCCAGTGTTTACAGAATGGAGATTTTAATTGAAGACTGCTATTCATATGGGAGACTGAAAAATGAATATGTCTTATATATAAACTATTTTACACGTCAGCACATTTAAAAGAATCAAGAAATAAGGACTAATTTGTTTTGCTCAGTGAGCTGCTAACAAGCAAAATTCATCATGACCTGAAGACGCTGAAACCTGCTTAAATATGTTAAGATTTTGAAATCTAATGACCTCATTGGCTTTATGAGTTGCAGGGTTGCTTTTTGGTTTACTTACAGACAGCTTTCTGCTAGCCTGGCTGGTAAAAGATGCTTATCAAACAACTCCTGTTAGATCCTGGAGAGAGGCCCCTTGTGCTGCATTTGAAATCTGATTCTCCACACTGAAGCATCTATCAGACAAAAAGGTAGATTCAAATAACTCATAATAATTCATTTCAGGGTGCTCAAAAGTGGGAAACTGCATCATTTTGTCCAGTTGTATTTTTAATGTCTTCATTGAGAAGTCTCAAACACACAGAGAATTACAAAAGGAAGTAAAAGTTCCCCCCAAAAATAAAAAAATATATGAAGGTACACAGTATTTGTGAAGCCAAAACACAAAAAGGGGAGAAAAACTTTCTTATTCTTAAAAATGTTACATATAATTGAACGCACTGCAGCCCGAAGTGGCTTAAATCCTAAACTCTTTTGGAGACCTGTATCTGATCTTTTCAAGACATTCTGTCGCCCCACTTATAATCGACAAATGCCACTTTTCTGCTTTCAGGCTCATTTGCAGTTCAGACAGGATATCACAAACGAGTCGCGTGTATCTGGAAATGTAAACGACGGGCCAAAACAAGGTCGGATTTAAGTCATTTCTGGCCTCTGGGTGAACGTTGCCTTAAATGAGGAAAACAGCATAATAGATCATTAAGAAGCTACAGGGAAATGAGACCACTAATCACTTTGAGTATTATCTGAAGGGTTTAAATTTCAGCTCTAAAGGTAAATGACTGACTTTACTTTCAAGTTTATCTTAAAAGGATCCCTTAAAAGGAAACTGTGAGGAATTTAAATGTTGCTTCAGGCCCTTAGAAAGGATACAGATAAAAATATTTCCCACCACAGCGATGAATGAAAAGGCATGTCACAGCTTAAACTTGATATAAATAAATAAATAAATAAAAAGAGGCATTTTATCTCATTTTCAAGCTTCAATGTGTTAAATGTGCTCTGCTTTTTAACCATTTCTCAGAGAAAACCATGGGGCCAATCAGCCATCTGAGTTCTGAGGTACCGTACAGAGAACGTTACTTTTTCATCTACAAAGAACAAAATCTAAATAAAAATATAGAAATGCAAATAGAGGTGATCCACACTCTGAGTACAAAGTGACCTGTTCAGATTTTTAAAAAAGGCAACAGCTTTTCGGGGCCTCCTCGGGGTTAGGAGAGAACATTTGACTTCCCAACAACTAAAAGGCCAAAGCTTGGGGTTTATAAACGGACACGTTGCTTTTAAGCCACCATTCAATCCATATTTCACTCATACAGCTCAAATATGATTCTATTACACTTGGATAAATCTTCCAAACAGATAAAAAAACGTATTCTATGATTTGAGATGTTTGTTAAAATGAACAACCATTAGTTTTATGAATAACTGAGATGATTCCTGTGAAAATGCTCGACCAGAAACAGCGATCATTAACAGTCATCATTAATTAAGGATATATTCTTGGGGGGTAAAACCGTGACAAATAAAGTAGCAAATCAAGCAAGGGGTGTTAAAAAGGAGGAGGTCAAAATGGTACACGGGAACCATTTCGCTCAGTGAAGGAAGAAGCTGACCGGCACAGTTTTGTGTGGAGGGGAAAGGAAAAGGCAACAGGAGGAACCTAAAACCCAGCTGGGGGGCGTGCGGGCTCATCCCTCAGTTAGTGGACTTTCCTTTTCCTGGAGCGGAATCGTCTCTGTCGCTGCTTGTACAGGTGTCGGAAGTTGATGAAGAGTCCTGCAGAGAGGCAGTTAGTCAGTCTTAGTACTAAATATGACTAATTATTCATATACAATACTGCTGTTATTATCATTAGTATCAATATCATTGCCATTTTTCATCCAGTCTATGGGTTAATGTGGAGGCTGCCTCCCTCTGCTCCTTATGTCCTTCTCTCGCTCTATCTCTCTCTTTGTCTCTTGCCCTCTCTCGCCCTCTCTGTCTCTTTCTCTCTCTCTTGCCATCACATCTCTCTCTCTCTCTCTCTCGTCCTCCCTCTCTCTCACCCCCAACCGGCCGAAGCAGATGCCCCCCCCCCCCCCCCCCCCCCCCCCCCCCCGCCCCACCCCGTCCCCCCCCCCCCCACCCTGAGCCATGGTTCTGCTCCAGGTTTCGGCCTCTTAACAGGCAGTTTTTCCCTCCCTGTGTCTCTTGGTGGGAATTGTTGTTCTTCTGTAAATAACTTCTGAGTTGCTCTGTTTGGAAAGTTGGGAGATACCTGTTGTTGAGATGTGGCACTATATAAATAAACCTGAATAGAATTTAATTGAAATATTTCCACACATTTCCGTTAAAAGACATGAAAACTACAGGATTGGGTCATCTACAACCCGAACACGTGCAATCAGGTTGAGAATCAGAGTTAAAGCTGGCAGGTCGCTGGAGGGCTCACCCAGAAACATGAGCACCAGGTAGAGCTGCAGGGAGTAGGAGAAGCTTATGGAGTGTCCCAGCACAGCTGGGAGGGGGATGCTGAACAGGCGGGACTCGTCGAAGATGGGCAAAGACTGGATCACAGCCACGGCTGGAAAACAAGTAGCGAAAGACACGCTGTGAGCCAGAGCCCGTTCAGGAGTGGGGGGCAGATTCGTGCCACCAACCTTCAGCTACGACGCCCAGAGGGTAGAGGGGGATCCACAGGCTGTATCGCAGCCACGTCAGCAGCTTCCACTCAGTGCCCATGCAGGCCAGCATGTAGAAGGGGTATCTGGAACAGAGAGCGGGAGGCCGGCGTTCAAACGGGAGCCAGCAGGCGGGATCACCCGGAGGGGGGTGGCAGAGGGGGTCCGAGCAGACCTGAAGATCTCGATGGTGCTCCAAAGGTAGAAGACGAAGAAGACCACGGGTTTGTTCTGCATGTCCTCCAGGCTGCCGAAGACCACAAACAACACCACGTTCCGCCCGGCCACCTGAAACAGAGCTCGGATTACAACAAAAACACGCACACAGCTTCACCTCAGGACACAGCAGCAGACTGATCTTCTCCCGAGTTCTCTGCCCCCCCTAAAACATAAGACTGATGACTTAATAAAAAGTTTTAAAAGGCTAACAGTCTCTTTAATTTGACCTTAAGCCTCTCGCACACATTCGGAGCTTCTTCCAGAGCCACAAATAAGTCCCCAACAACAGTAACCTGTGCTGCTTATTAAAGGGATTATGCCCTCTAAAAAAAATAAAAACATCAAACTTAGATCTCATGTGTCAGGCTTTTGGGTTCGTTTCCTGTTTGGGCTGCCTCTTGCACAGAGGATTATGTGGGTTAAACTTTCCATCACATTGTGGATTATTATTATATTGATCAAACACTTTGATGGTTGAACCTCTGTTCTGCTTTCTAGTCCCATTTCTGTACCACTGTATCCAAAAATTCAACTTAGCGGGAACACCGTATGTCACAGTTCCTCATTTGTTTGCAGGCAACTTTCTGCCTGGATAACTTTATCAGATAACTTTATCCAAATGTTGCTTTGGGGTTATTGTCCAGCTTAGAACCTCAGGAAAAAGGGTAGGTGATGAAAGGAGGGTGAGATGAGAAGCACGTCCTCTGTGTTACCTGTATCATAGCAGGGAAAAATCCAGTCTTAACCAGACCCAGCAGGGGATTGATGACCTCCAGAACGGCCATCATCTGACAGAAGTACATCATGTCGGCTGTGGTGTGAAAGGTATCGTAGAACGAGTCTGTGGCAGCCAAGACACAAACAAACAAACGGGACTGAGCGCTGTGTCGCACAAGCTGCAAAAATCATTTGCAAAACAAATCCCTGTTGTGTAGCTGTGTTCCTGTTTCTATTCAAATGAGTTCAGCTGTGAATGGCTCCTGGCAAACAAAACCTCAGACCTCTCCGGCTGCTTGTTTGTTGTATTTTAGGGGCTCATTGTGCTGCACTCCTTTCAGTTTTTGTGCTCTGTAGACACTCCACCAAAAATTCAAAAGATATTAAAGAGAACATTTAATTTAGTTTTGTGCTTAAATGTGGCGTTAGATCTTTAAACTCTGGAACAAAGTGTTGATGGTTAAGATAAAATGTGTTTAGTTTTTGCAACTACAGAAAAAAAAAGATTTTTATGTGCAGGCTTGTGATGAAATAACTTTTGCTTTTAAACAAACCTTGACCGAGAATGAAGAGTCGGACGGTCATGTTGACAAAGATCCAGGAGAATCCCAGGAACTGGACCAGGTTGTACATAAACAGGTAGCCTTTCTTCAGCCCCAGATAAGCTGACAAACAGAGGGGAATAATTAGCCTTGATAAAACAGCAAATGTCTGCATGAACAAAGGTGATGAAGGAACCAGACTGATCTGCATTTGTGAGTGTGACTCACGGTCTTTGCGAACTCTTGACTCCACACTTATCTTGTTTATCTTTTCCTCCTGAAAGAACAACACATTGATGGTGACTTCTCTGTACTGACTGGTGGGAGTGAACCTCTTTGAAAGCTTATATCATTAATATACCCCAAAAAAAAGACAGGAGATTTTGTTCTGTGAAAACGCAGATTTATAAAACACTTTCCCAAGCTATTATGATGCGTAACCACGGCAACCCGTCAGAGGAAAAGCTCATCAAGAAGAGCTAAAGAGGAGACGGCCAGGAAGCAGGGCAACAAATATGTGGATCCAAAGGGGAAAGAGGGTTCAATACGTTTTCGCATCACCAGAATGTGAAGGTTTAAAAAAATGTTTTTTTAAAAGGACGATTTGGAACCCCTAATGAGCATGCTGCAGAAACAGAGGGAGAGTGACGATATTTCTCTCATTTAGAGCCACTCTGGAAGCTCTCTGCTCAGCTTCCAGACTAACCGGGTACACAGGGAGGACTCAGAAAAGCAGGAGGGTCACAACAGCTGGAATCCTGGATGTTTCAGAGAGAGGAGAGCAGCCCAGATACGCGATGTCATCAACAGTTGTTGCTAAGCTACAAAAAAAGACCACACTTACGAAGATATCTAACGAGCCTTCCTCTCTGCTGCACTTCATCTTTCACATTTCTGTCTACTGAACTATGTTTATTTTTTTCCATCTACCGATCTATCAATAAATCAGTAATATAATTTCCCCTTTGGATATTAAAAAGTGTTATTGAACTCAGTTATGGCTGAATGAGCTCCAAACTGCGGTGGCTGTGTGAATGCAAAACGCCAGATCCAGACAGCTCTGCTTGGTTTGTCCCCTCCAGGCCACTGTAGCATCACATGGAGGGACTGTGACATGTTTAACATGCAAAAGACATGCATTCATCGAACGAATGTCCTCAGGCAAATAAAATAAAATAAAATTATTTTGTTTGTTTTTCTGCCTACTGAAGCATTCAGTGCCTAAAAGCAATTAGATAAAAATGGCAGGTTATCACTCTCATCAATGAGGTCACTTCACATCGGTGCATCAGAAAGGTAAATGTGATGCATTTATGTGGAGAATTTCCTCCTATGGGGATTGTATGAAGCTCTGTACAAAGCATCTCTTATCCCACATATTAAACATTACAGACACTGTGCTTAAATAAACAGCTTTCTCAACAAAATGCAGTCTGTAAAAACACGGCCCTTCATTAAATGTGTTCAAATGCATCATTTTATTCCTTTAAAAAATTCAGATGATTTCATTGGGGGAATTCCCATTGTGTTTTCAGTGTGTCGTTTCTGGCACATAGACGCACAACATGTGATGCAGCGAAGGATCACAGACATCTGTGAGAAGTCATGAGGGGTCGAGATGATCGGCGGCACACTTAAGTGCAACAGCCGACGGTATTTTAGCACTTCAGGAAGCTTATGTGAAACGTTTAGACCGTTTCCTTTCTAACTTTGACCTTAATAATGATTAATGAAGTGTAATAAGTGAGGATATGGTTAGGGCTCTTTGCAGGGGCTTAGTTTAAACCTTGTGTGTCAATAGAAAAATTGTCAAACCAATAAAAACGATATGTCTTTTTCTATATATATATATATTTTATGTCTTCCAGCTGTTAAACAGCTCTCATTGGTTAATAAGATGGTGTTATCTGCTTTGCGTGTTCTCTGCTGTGGCGCATGGTGAGCCTTTTTGTTTCCTGTCTTACCGGTTTTGCAGCACATGAAGTGACATTAGAATGCATTTTTCTGTTAATAATATATTTTTGTTTACAAATAAAATTCTAATCTAGATATAGCCCTGAAACATAGGTAAATATTCTCAAATGCCATTTAATTGTTTACCGATTAGACAGTTATTTCTGGTTTGTCTGCCAGCATACTGATTTTATTTGGGTGTCTACAAACATAAAACCTGCAGGTTGCATATGAAAAATATGAGTCGAAAAATCAGAATAAAAGGTCTGTAAGTCTGTAATAAGTTTGCAAAAGGGTGAAAGATTTCATGTAAATTATTGTGACCTTTGCATGGGAACTGCTGGTGAAACTTGCATATTCATTCAGAGGAACTTTATCTGACACTATCATCAACGTTGTGTTGTAGTTTTGAGCTCTGGATAAATTTGAGGCATGATTTAATATGTTGCTGGGGCTTTGTGGCATTCTTTTTATACCTCTTTCTACAATATTTACTCAAAACAACAACTTCCTGTCACTTTAGCTGATGTGGAATGGCCCCACACAACAGATGATGCACGTGGCATTCTTCTGTTATACACTTTAAATGGATTACTCATCAGTATCAATTCTTGTTTACAGAAACCCATTGAGGTGTGCCTTAGGATGAGGTGCAGCTTCCAACTGTTCATATATCAGGTATAACATTGAAATATTTTAGCTAAGATTAGGCTCAGTATCATTTGTTAAGTTTATCACCTTTAGCTGAGAATATACCCATTTTATTTCTATACATTCCCATTAATTACTTTTAATTCCCAGGATAAATTTCCCAACTTTGAAAATTTATGGAATTTTACAACTTCTAAATATTAATTGGGATTACCAAGTTAGCAAATGAGTATTTATCATTTTAGGTTTTCAACACATCAGTCTGACAAAACAGATATAAGATAATGGGAAAAAGATGACATTCAAAAAAGCATTTACTGAGAAAAGTCCCTTTAGTATGAACGGCAAAGAAGCCTTTCCCATGGAGGGAATGAATGATTATTCCATGTTTAACCTTAGCCTGAAGCTCCATCTCAGCATCTGATTCGTCCAGCCAGCGGTCGAAGTCTGGAGCCAGGAACAGGGGCTTTCTCTCCTGCAGCGTCAGCCGCTCCCACCATCGTTCCTCCTGCTTCTTGATTTTGATGTCCACCTGACGCTGAGTGGACTTGTGCTTGATCTAAAAGCACAGGGTTAAGAGATACTACATATACCCTTTTGCAATTTCTAACAGCCAATGAAATGATATGGTTAACTAAAGAGCCTTCACAGTAAATAAAATAAAAATCATCAATAAAATAGCAAAACAATAATATATTAGTATCTTTCTGTCTTAAATAAACTTAAAAATGGTTAAATAACTCCTGGGCCAAACAGCCCCCCTTCTGCTCACTCAGCAGAGCAAGATTTCATTAATTCAATATCAATAAATGTAGATCAGATAGTTAAGTAGATCATGATAAATATTTCCAGCCATTCAGGGCGGAGCTTTTCGCAGAGTTTCTGAGACATTTTAATTACTTCTTCTTTCTTTTTTTTAACACCAAAGACATAAAAATATCACACAGTAAGAACAGCAAAAACAAAGACGGATACCTCAGGCCTAACAGGTTTCAGGAACTCCAGACTGAACTCGTATTCATTATCTCCTTTAGCTCCGTGGCCCTGTGCTGGAGAGCAACATCATTTTAACAGCAAATCATGCAAAGAATGTCTTTGAAATTATGACTCTGGGTGAGTGTTTTTAAAATGAAGTTGGAATGAATACAAACCTCTGAACTGGAGTGTGTTATTTTCTTGCAGGCTTATATCTAGATTCTGAAAAACACAAATAGCATTTATCATCACCTGAACAGATGACCTATTAATTCTTTCTAAAAATGTGCCTTTTTTTGCATTTGATTAAAACCAATTCATTACATGAAAAGATCAAAACTGTCTTGCGGCATTAAACAAAAGTGTAATTTCTTTGTTCTACTTCCAGAGGAGTTTTTAACACGTACAGTAACACTTTGACTTCATGTAAATGGGTGTAACTGAGAGGCTGTTTTTTTTTCTCTGTGCATTTCCGCTGTCACTAATCTATTCTGCTGAAAGGTTGAAGAGCATCGCGAAAAACTATAAAATGTCATGCATCTTTTATGAGACATTGGTCTGACAGATGCAAGATGACGATGGAGGATAAAAGGAACTTAGTACGTTTTGTTTCCAGTGCAAACAAACACGTAAAAGACAGAAGAAGATAAAACATTAGTTTAGCCTTGCATTTGGCATTTGAAATCCTACTTGTCCACACTTATGATGCCTTAAGTGTCTTCTGGAATTTGAAGCGTCTATGAACAGGGACTTTGATACAAAGTCCCATCCCATTTTGTAATCTCAAGTTAAATTTAAATGACATACAACACCTTTTTCTATCAAAGAAATCATTCAGGGATACCCCATTGCTGCAAATCGAGCTGTTATCTTATTCTATCTAACCTTTATTTAACTAGGAAGTAACCATGAAGGTTATTAATATAGACTTGGGGACAGGAAGCAGCATAAAACAAACAGTTACAAACATCACACAGAAATAACACCCTCAAAGAATACTAAAGAAAACTAAAACATTTAACATCACAATGTGTAACAGTTACATTGAACTGTGGCCTAAAATCGTCAAACAATGTCTCTTGATAATGACAAAGCATTTGTTTAGGAGTTCGAAAAACAAATAAGCAGTATGTGAACCGACTCACAAATTAAAGCTGGCTCTTGACTTATTTAAAAGGAAGAAATTAATAATTGATTCATGAAACTTGAGCTCTAAATGAAGAAGTATACTTGTAAGGTTGTGAGTAGTTACCAAACAAGCCAGTTCACAGTAAAGCATGGGACCCTAAAATATCCCATATTTAAAAAAAATGACAGTTGGTGACATAAACGGAAGATAAAGATAACGGTGACTACATTATTTTAAAAGGGACAAAACACTTAGAAAACTAATATTGATTAGAAACAGCTAAAAATTACTCAAAATACTCATATTTTCCTTGTTTTATGGCAACCATAGATACGTTAAAGGTCGGCTAAGCCAGTAAAACAGCTTTACCTGCGGCTACATCTTCACTTGCTAGCGACTAACTGTACAGCAAACGATGTGGGCGCGCGCGGTAGCCGTTAACGGTCAAACCGACACAACAAAAGAAAAGAAAAGAGAAGACGGACACGTTGGAGCAAACGACCTGAGCAGGAGCTGAAGACATTAGGGTTTTAAAGGCTACAACAGAGAGCAAACGGCTGTGTGCTGCTGCTGTCTTCCTACCTTGGCATCGCTCAGTTCCACGCGGAGATAAATCTCTCCGTGCCGCTGAGCCCAGTAAACGTGAGGGGTCAGTATGTGCATGTTTACTCTGTGTTTTCTGATACCCAGGTGTCACAAGGTTAAAACAAATAACAATATCACTTTATGCTGCGGGACCCATGTCTGTCTGGGACAAGTGCCGCTGCATGTAGCTGATGAATGGGACTTCCGGGAGGAGGTCTCTTTCGGACTTCAGAATAAGACCGCTTGGCGGTTTCTGTGGAATTACAATAATAGAGGAGACGGTACGGAAAGCCAAGAGGGTCAAAAATAACTTTTGGTGTTAGCTGTCTATAACCTCAATCAAACACCGCTACGAGCGCCACCAGGTGGTGAATTAGTCAGACTGAGTGTCAGAAAAGAGGATGGTGGGAAGTTTGCATGATTTTTAACTTTTAGTGATTAGTAACACTTGAATGTCACACATTTTCTTCCGAACAAAATAAAAAAGAATCAGCATCCCTAAAATACAACTACAAATAATGTAGTACGTTTTTAAGTACTTCAGCCTGAAATATACAGTAAATAGTATTAGTAATATTAGTAATACAGTATTTTTAAGAATGTAAACATGTCAAAAATTATAAGCAGACGTATCCAAACTGTTTTTACAAGACTTCAACAAAGCATTTCCATTTGGCGAGAATGAGTATAGCACTTCCGGTAAAAAATAAACAAATAAAACCGGAAACTTTCCATTTTCGGTTTTGCTCTGTTTTGCTTTTCTTTTACCAATCTAAGCTCAGTTCGTACAGTACGTCCACCTTGGATACGCCTCCTTATCGCCTCTCCGTTTCAAAGTGCAACCCCCCGGAAGATTATGTGAAAGTTCATCAGGTAAAAGGACGTTTTACCGGCACAAAACGTACCTCTGCGGTCCCAAACTGCCTCCTGAACACCTGAGTGCTGCTTTTTCCGAGAGCAGGTCACATTAACGTCGCTGCCGGGGTGCTTTCAGGAAGTTTTTAAAAATGAGTGGAAAAGCTGAAACGCTCGGGGAAACGTCCAGGGATGCGGTTTCCTCTCCGGCCAAGGCTGCGGACCAGCAGAAGAAGGGGAAGATTATTTTCGTCGTGTACATTATCGCTGTTTTGGACATCACCTGGATGTTTTTACAGTTTTCTGTTACCCCTGTGAGTACCCGTTTCTGTTGTGTCAGAGCAGGAAGCCGATATTTCCGCGCCTGTCCTTAAACTCGCACGATGACAGGACGTTTATGTTAGATTTTATGCAACATTTACAGACTGGAGCTAATAGGCTTTCACACCTAAAAGGGACGAAAACCACATGACACTGCATGTTTAGCTGAACTTTCTTTGAATCAGACCTCACATAGTTTGTTTTCCAACAAACTATTTGTGTTCCTCTTTGCGCAGACTTGCATAATCGTAATTCAATGTAATAAAACACATTCTACGTGTTTAAACTGAAAAGATATTGGATCCCCTGCACTTGTTGGACAAATCAGTACTCAGCATGTTAAGTTTTGCATGAAACTAGAGTTAAAAACAGTTAGATTGCAATCAGTAATGTATTATGTTGTTAAAACCCCTTCAGGGAAAAAAAACAATAACAAAACATGGTGGTGTATTAACAATCTTACATAAAACTTTTAAGTCCATATTGACACTCCTTAAAGAAAAAGATGGGTATACATTTTTCACCTCTATTTGATAAATAAACACTCGTGGTTATAGTTAAACTTACTGTGGAAAAGGATATTTGCATCAATTCAAATAGTAGTTTTTTCATTGGTTTTTCACACAGGAAACAAAACAAAATTCAGGTCATATTTAAACAATATTCAGGTAATAGCCTGTTATAATCATGAAAAAATAACTAACAAAAGCAGGTATTAATGTAGAAAAGTAAATATGCAAATGTCTGTTAATATTTCAAAAAGTCATATTAAAGGAAAATGAGCTAAATGAGTGTGTCTGAAATAAAAAAGTTTATTAAACATTTGATAATCTCAGCCGTGGAATGAAGAAAACATACATTTAACAATAGCTAATATCTCTAAACAGGGACAACCTGCACCCTCTGTAGCCTTTTCCCCCTGATAGAAAAGTCTGAAGTCATTCACGCCTTGCACAAATATGGTCACATCCAGCAACGCCCGACTCACTGGAGAAAAGTTCATGCAATGGGGAATTAGCTGTTTGAAATGTGAAACAAAATGTTTCATCTACGCTATTAGTGATGTGCCTTTTCATAGTCTTGAGGTCGTCATTTAAGCTAACGATTTGGTGAAAAGATACAGATAAACGGACCGAATGCAGAGCGGCAGCTGACAAAGGGAGGCTCACGGGGAATGTAACCTACTAATTTCATAATAAGAGAGCAGCCATAGCCAGGAAACCATGGAAACCAAACTGAAGAGAAATAAAAACAAAATACAGGCAAAATAATACAACAAACAAAATAAATACAAAATATGCACTCAATTGTCGAAATGAGTGGATGTGTGTGTGTGGTTGGTTGTCTCTGTGTCACCCTGCGATGGAACAGGCGCCCCCCCCCCCCCAAAAAAAAAAAAGTGGAACAGTCTAATTCTTGTTTACTGTCATTATTGTAAAATCGGAAATTAATTTAATCTCAAATATATTGTCTTTAAACACCCTTAGCCATTTTATTACTGTTAACATGATAGAAAAAACTATCCTTGATATGAAAAACTACGTTTAACTACACAAAAATCAACTAAAACTGCACTATTTTTGTCTTTTTTTTCTACAGTATTTGGCAAAGAAGCTGGGCTTCGACACCTTGTGGTTTGGTTATTTGCAAACTACAGTCGGGGTGATCCAGCTCATCGGGGGTCCAATGTTTGGAAGGTAAGTCCCCCGTTTGCCACGCGGTCAGCAGCCCTCTGGGCAGGAAAAAAAAGCAGTTTTTCCTCCTTTTTGTGGGCAGGTTTGCAGATCTCTTTGGGTCCCGGGCAGCCCTGACTCTGGCATGCTCGGCCACCAGCGTGTTCTTTGTGCTGCTGGCCATAGCCAATCATCCCGTCCTGCTGTTCATCCACAAACTCCCCTCCGTCTTTATGCACGTCATGCCTGGTGAGCGGCATCCGCCTTCCATCAGCCCGCGTCGGCCATTGTCATTTTATCATTTTCTCCCTTTTTCCATCAATCACTGGACAATCTCACACATGAAACAAAGTATTCGTGTGGAAATGAGAGCAAAAGTGGCTGCTCTGGGGCTCCTTTTTTCATTAAATTCAAACATTATGTAACGTTTTTATCATGTAAAGCTGGAATCATTTTCTGATTTCAAGCCAAAACTGTGTTAAAATGTCAAAGGTTTATACGTTAAGTAGAAAAATATTGGGGTTTTTTGAGGATTTTGCTGCTATTACATTTACATTCCTTTGTTTCAGTCAAGGGAAATTCTGTGTTTTGGGCATTTCTTGCTTTTTCTGGTGTAGATTCAAAGGAATTCACAACCTATTCAGTTTAGTTTAGTACCTCAGCTTTAACTAAAGTATTGAAATAGCGGGTCGATGCGTCAGAAGTAACTCAAAATCACAGAAATACTGTTTTTCTAAGTGGATTTAAACCCTTTGAACAGCTACACTGCTATTGATTTTCTCCTGTGATCCGTTTCCTTTCTGCAGGCTGTCAAATGGTGGTCACAGACCTTTCAGAACCGGAGAAACGGGCCGATTCTTTGTCCAAGCTGGGTCTGTGCTTCGGCATCGGCATGATAGCCGGCTCCACATTAGGCGGACACCTGAACACGCGCTACGGGTGAGTGCTGTTTCTGTGCCTGTAAGTTGGGAGAAAAAAAACCCGACAAATTTAAGATGATTAAAAAATAATGAGTTTTAAAATCCTTATAACATCCAACAACCAATCCATCAGTAACTGGATCCATAAAATCCACAAAAGCCATCATCAAACACAGCCTTTGAAACAGGATTAAGGTGAATTCCTTAGAACCAGTTGGCTGATTAGTTTTAATACAAATTTGTTTATCAAAAAATACTGTTTCTCATTTCTGAAAAGAACAATTCAATCAATTCATTTAACAATAAGTGAGAGAAAATGCTACAAAAAGATTAAGAACTGCATAAAGGTGGACAAAAAAGTTTAATCTTTTCTAATAGTTTAAGCTGCATATGGTGATTATTGTGTAGTTTCCGTGTTTGAATCGCAGATTCTTGGAGTTTTTCTGTCTAGAGTTTGCCTGGATACCCAGAGTTTCCTCCCACAGTCCAAAAATAGGTTAATTGGTGAATCTAAATGCACCTTGGCAGTGAGCATGCTCAGTTCCTGCTGTTTGCTCATTCCCTAGCAACACTCATTTGAAATAAAATGAAAGGTTGAGGCTTATTTAGAAGTTAATGTAATTTAAAAATAATAATATGACTGACGTTTATCGGTGTTAATATAGTTTAACCTCCTGAGACCCAGGCTTTTATATGGTGTGCATTTTTATTTTTTTTTCCAAATATATGGCACGCTGTGATGGCACAGGAAGTGTTTTCCTCATATAGGGACAGTGGGTGTATTTTTGTATAAAGTGTTTTAAAGTATTCTTTGCAATTTTGTTGTGAAGGTCCAGATGATATAATTAGAACATTTAATTACACAATAAATACATGAGGGATTGAAAATGTATCAAACCATTTTATTTTAGATTTCAAACATTAATGTCCAATATCATCTGCTATGAGGCCAGGAGGTCAAAGTTGAAGAAAAATTAAGTATCGTGGTACAGAGGGGCAGAAATGCAATGTCCTCTAATGATGTCCGGGGCTAATTATGATGTGCGCCCACCTAATGCTGCTTTTGTCCTCTATTTTCAAGGGAGACGTTTACCGCATGCGTTGGTGCCGCAGGGAGTGCCATCAGCGTATTGCTGGTTTTAAAGTTCATCCCCAAATCTACAAAAGCTGAGGCCTCCAGAAGCAGCATTAAACGTAAGCCGTGCCAGATGTTCTGAGCACTTTGTGAATCTGTAGCACAGTCGGTATTCAAATCTAAAAATTAGTCAGAAAGCTGAAATTATTCCGTATTCTGACATTTGTTTTCTAAATCTTTCCATGAATCAATGTGATGACAGAAACAAACTGAACCCATGGCAAATAACACTAGAAAGGCACAAAGAAGGAAGAACCCTACAGAATTTCAAACATATAATATTTGTTTGAGTAAATTATATCCATTTTAATGACTTGCATGAATTTCTAATGAAAAATTGCAGCAAAATGATACGTCCAAGGTGATAAATATTTAAACGTTAGCATGTTGTCTGTCTTAACAATCACACATCGTTCACATTATTTCAAACTGCACAAATGCTGTAATTTCCCTTTGGGATTCAGAAAAGCAGTTTTATTCATTTGAACTCAAAAGAATTTAAAAGTAAACAGTTAATAAAATAACATTTCCAGCCATATAACTTCTCAGGATACAGATACATTAAAAAAAACATCAAAATATGTACAGAGAAATATATGATTTTTTAAAAATGTTTATGTTTACTCTGGCAAAATATATATCTTTAGCTTCAGGTGTTCAAGCAGACTGAGCTAAAACTGTTTCCTGAATGGACCATAAGCTGTTTGACGACCGTTTTAATTTTGTTTAGCAAAAGTAAAATAAAAAGGGGTGTCCATCTGTTGCGAAATCTAACTGAAAAAATAAGGTTTTATTTATTTATTTAAAACTTTTATTAGCATCTAGATGCATTACCGTGGCAACAGGGAAGCTTTTGACTGTTTGCTAGCTTTTGGCTAACTGTTAGCTAGCTAAGGATTTGCTAACTGTTGACAAACATTGGAATAAACGAAAAAATTGTTTAAAACTGATCCGCTTAAAACATAATATAGACAATAATGTAAATATTTAAAAACAAACTAACCTTCAGAAACCAATGCCTCGTGTAAGTCTGTCTAAAGAAGAGTTAAAGGAGAGAAATCTAGAATACAGAATTGGAGCGAAATGGAGGCTAAATTTTTTTTAAAAGAAATTTTAAAAAATTCTGCTCTTGGTCATGAAAAAGGTGTGGTATTGGCAGAATAGACAGGCTTGGACGTCTGATAATGACACAGCAGAAATTGAGCACAAAAGAAAAAGTATTTCTTAACACATAGCTACAGGAACAAGTTTGGCTGGTCTTTGGGATCATACAATCGAACAGAAAGACTGCAGTCAGGGATTACAGAGACTGCTGAATGATGTGGTCTTTTATGTGATCACAGAAGAGAATTTGAGGCTTTAATAAAGTTGAAATTGAAAGCGACCAGCCCTGGTAAACAGTAGAACGGCACATCAAAACTTTTGGAATGATATGAGGTCATAGGATGCTTTGTTAGCTTGACGCCATAGTTACATCATTTCAAATCTAATCAACTCGCTGCTCCAGTAATGATGTTGAAACAACCAAAAAGATGGAAATTTTAACAATTTTGCCCACGGGAATTGGCTGTAAGAATGGGAAAAATTCAAGTCCTGTGTCAGCTTATCATCGCCGCCTCATATCGTCGATCCTTCCTGATGTCGGCCGGGAATACACCCAAATTCAACAAAAAAACACCAGCTTGGAGAACGATAACTTAGCTCTGAAGAAGAAGGTGGAATCTCTGATCACTGATAGCGAACACCTGAAGGTGGAGCAGCAGAGAATCCAAAATGTGGTCAAAACTAGAGACACCCTCAGGAACCAGCTGGTGCACTGCAAAAACGAAATGCTGGTGCTGGGCAAGAAGATTAGCATCCAGGAGACGGACCTGCGACGGGAGCGCAAGCAGAACGAGGCCCTGAAGGTGGAGGTGGAGTCTTTTAAGAAGGCCCTGCAGTCGGCCAAGCAGCAGGCTCACGGCCAAAAAGCCGAGCACCAAAGTCTGAAGGAGCAGCTGGAGCTGGCGGGGAAGCAGAGGGACGGCCTCAGCGACAAGTGGCTCCGCTGCCAGAACCAGTGCTCCGAGCTGAGCGACAAGATCTCCAATCAGCAGTCCAGCCTCAACAAGAAGGACGGCCAGTGCAAGGAGCAGATGAGGCAGATCATGCTCCTCAAGCTGGAGAACCAGAAGCTTGAGAGGGAGAAGAGCTTCCTCGAAAACGAGGTCAAGGATCAGAGACGCGCTCTCCAGAACTATGAGGAGGAGCTCCGCGTTCAGAAGGAGAAGCTGGTGGAATGCCTAGCGTGGCGCTCGGTGGAGAACCAGACGGGAGACAGGATAGTAATTCTTCAGCAAAGGCCGCAGGTCAAAAGGAAGCCCGTCCGGGAGGCGGCGGCCCGGAAGGCTGAGTCCTCCCAGGAGCTGCAGAGCCAGAACCAGGAGCTGAGGAAGATCCAGAAGATCTGCCAGGAGCTGAAGCAAAGCCTGACGCAGACCTCGCTGCAGCTCCAGCAGTCCAAAGCCGTCCTGAGAAACCGAAAAGACCAGCTGAGAGCCGTGGCTGCCGAGAGGAACGTGTACAGAGGCGAGGCTGACAAAAGGAAGAAAGAACTAGCGGCCATCAGGAAGGAGACGCTCAGTCAGAAGCTGCAGAACTGGGCAGCCAAGAAGACTAAGAAGATCAAGTCCTCTTCAGGAAGCAAGACCAGCCAGTCCAACCTCTCCTCAGAGTCCAGCAAGGCCAAGACGGAGCCCAAATTCATGATTATCGGAAACAAAATCTAAAATTGAATCGAACTGAAGTAAAATGATATACCTTGGTTTTATACAATACTTTCTTTTTTTTCACAAACGAGCGTGTTATTTGTGGGCAAAGATCACGATAAAGTCAGTAATGGCAGGCCTGAAATCAGTATCGAACAAAGTGATTGAATGTTATAAAGGTTCAAATGTTTGACTTGGAGAAAATGTCCCCTGTTTTAAAGACAAACCCCATCATGAAGTTAAGCTGAGCAGCCCTCAGTGACACTCATGGTGTCACCACTAACTTCAGGTCGAGGAAAGTCCACTTTAATCTCATTGTGGGGCTTTGTGCTTCACCTATAGTGGTAAATATCTCAGGAGTTTTTAGATGGACAAAGAACTGTTTATGCTCAAGTTTAAAGAGGAAAAAGACTCAGAGGGGACGATGTTTGCATCATGTCTTAATGTTTATCTACTGCCTCTTCTGGCTCTTAGCTGAAGCAAATCCGCATTTCTGACTGTTTTCTGTCCTCTGTAGTTTTGGGTAAAAATGTAAAAGCTAGATGTTCTAGCACTGCCTTTGTCTGAGACCCATTTTCAAACAGATTCACAAATCAGTTCATAGTGTCCAGTATTTCCATTGTGAGAAGAGTGGAGATTAACTATTTTGTCGCATTACATTTGTGGCTTTTGTTATCGTCCATAAAACGAGAGATTTGAGAGATCCTTTTTACTTTGTCTCCATTTGTGCCTTTTTGAGTCACAAGGCCTGGTACAGCTTGCAACTATGATCGGATACTTTTAGACTTTAAAGTAAAGTAGAGGACAAGCTCACTTCTGTTCTGGATGTTCCAACTTTTGTTCAAACGGACTGAAACGTAATACAAAAAGACACACAGGCACCTCCTGCAATGCCTCAGTTTTCTCTCTCATGCTAGAATATGCTTCATAAACCATTTAAACCATTTAACATAAACTTGGATGGGTGAGACATCCGCAATGAAACTACTTTTTAATCTTTTTCTGGTTGTTCGTTTCGAAATATTCTGTATCAACATACAGCAATTTACCTATTTGATGCCCAACAGGTGTATAACTAGCTGCATCCTAAATTTAATGATTTATTCTGTGTTTCCACAGCTGAGAACCGGGACAAAAAAGTCTTCAGTTTGGGAGAGATCACGAGGCTGATGAAGTTTCCCGGAGTAATGCGGATTTTTCTCATCAAAATAGTTGCGGGTTTGCCGTCAGGTGAGAATTGTGTTGGAGGAAGGGTCCTGACCTTTAAATGTTTTGTACATGGACAGTCCACCACCCCCAGAGTGAGGTTTGAGCCCAAAATGAGACCCATCGGTGGCCCCCAGAGGAACTCTGCATGCTCCTGTAATGGTTAATACTCCAGTATGTGGAAGCTCTTAAGCTTAAATTTTATTTTAGGCTATACTATATATACTAAAATAGAATTATTATTGCTATTAATGCTTTTTCAAATATTCTGTTTTGCTAAAAAACAGTCATTTCGAATCAAAATATCAATTTCGAAGGAGAGAAAAACCACCAGAGGAAGAATGGAAGCTGCTATCAGAGCAGAGATACGAAGTTTAAGCTGAATCTGAGAGGAAAAGGAGCCTTTAGCTGCTTCTCCTTCTATTTTTAAACGGGTTTCTGAAAGATCAGTGAAGCTCTGTACATGTAAAATATTTCAGTCCGTGCCTGGAGGTCATTCTTTTGAAAGACTAGATTAAGTTGAATTTAAGATAAAGTATTTATTCATGTACAACGGTTCTTTTTCTCTCGTTTATTCAGGCGTATTTCAGGTGATGTTCTCCATCATTGCGTTGGACTTCTTTAAGCTGGAGCCCCAGCAGAACGGCTACCTGATGGCCTATTTTGGCATCGTCCAGATGGTAAAAGAGCCTCGGGACCGTCTCCTGTCAGCTGGAGCTGCACTGACCGGACGGGGTCGGTCAAACACTCTGCTTTCCTGTTTAGGTGGTTCAGGGAGTGGTGATCGGGCCTCTCACCTCCAGGTACACCGAGAAGTCGCTGCTGCTTCTGTCCATTGGAGTCGCATCCTTTGTGGGCCTGGCTCAGGTAGGGTCCACAAACATAGCCCCCCTGATTGTGAGAATGCCTGTTTCTCTTTTTCTGGGTCCAACTACGCCCACATTTTTCAGCCTATTTCCTCCCTTCTAGTTTATTCTCAGACTCTATTACATCTGCTGACTAAGGATTATGTAATAAAGTACTCACCCTGTTTATGTGATTGTATGCTTTTTTATATTTCAGCATCAAAGATTTTTTTTTAATTAAATTGGAATGAAATGAAAAACATATAAAGAGGAGAACAAAGACAAAATATTAAAGGCTGAAGCATAAGATTATTTAACTGAAAATCATTCTGAAATCTCTTCAAAGACTGTTCAAATTCTACAATGAAAAATATATTTTATTTTCCTGTTGTTATTGGGTAAATTAGACCAATAGAGAGAGAAATAATTCCATGTAAATTAAGTCGGATGTACCGAATGTTCCAAAGATTTTTCTCAAATTTGTGTTGAGAATATTCTGATTAAGAGGTGTAACACAGATTTGTAGGATCATTTTATAATTCATGCTTTATAAAACACTCAATCTTACACAGAAAAACAAGAGCTGTGACTATTAGCTGCCTTTAAAAAGCACTGAAATGGTTTTAAATCAGTATCCTGATCGTACCTATCGTACCATATCTAACATATATAAGTGTAAAATATCGGATTAAATGAAAAATATGGTTTCTATTCTTATTTAGGGGCTTTATAAGCAGACCAGATCAGTTTGACCTGGGAGGAAAAACAATGTGTAGCAAAAGGGAGGAAAAAACCTTCTCTCCCTCCTTTTAGGGCTGGTATAATTCAGAAATTAGCTGTCATGCTTCTTCTCTCCCTCCATCTGCAGGCTTACATGCAGAACGTGTTCCAGTTCTGCATCACCGTCACGCCCTGGGTGTTTTCTCTGAGTGTGTTTAATGTCATCACAGACACCATGCTCACCAAATCCGTCCCCTCCTCTGACACAGGTGAGCTCCTCTTCTCAGACACTATCAGAGGGTCCATGGCCCCAAAAGGTTACATTTGTTTTCAGTCCCTGATATGGGACTTTTAACCGAATGAACAGGAACAGAGCATTTTAAACAATTAACTACACAGAGCATTGTTAAACAATTAACTAGACAGAACATTTTTAAACAATTAACTAGACAGAACATTTTTAAACAATTAACTACACACAGAGCATTTTTATACAACTAACTAGACAGAGCATTTTAAACAATTAATTAGACGGAACATTTTTAAAGAATTAACTAGACACAGAGCATTTTTAA